CATTCCGGTTGAAGAGTTGCTTTGTCTTACGCCGGCCGTCAGCGTGGTGCGTGTTGTGAGTTAGGTGGTACGTAACGTAACACGCTTCCTACTCGGGATGAGGTTCGGCTTGACAGAAGATGGCCTTGGGGCTCTAAAAAGTATGCGTTGGATATTCTCTCTGTCTGTCTTGTGTGGTGAATGAGTAGCAAATAAACGGTTGTGCTTTTTCTTGACGAGGTGGTAGAAGCCCTTCTTCGGGAGTTGCAGCATTATGTGTGAGAAGAGTTTTTCGGCTACTTGAGAAACTCCTCTGCAAGTGTGTGTGTGTGTCAGAGGGGGTAGTACACCCAGAGAAGTACAAAGATGTGGGGTGTAACATGGTGTCAGAAAAAGTTTCGGTTTTCGGTCACGTTTCCCTTCCTGCCTGTGGGCGAGGGAAGGGGCTTCAGGGGGAAAGAGCATTCCAGCGGAGAAGCCCCGCGGTTTTCTGAGCTGCGTGGCGTAACAGCCGGGCTGTCCGAAAACTCTCCCTGGAGGAGTCAGGAGAACAGCTCCTGGGGGCAGGAGAGCGAGGGACACTGGGCAGCAAGGAGGACGTTCGCTCTGGTGTCTCGTCTTCACCTGGCTCCTGCTGCCACACTCACTAGTCACGGGCTACCGAGATTTCCAGGATTTGGTCCAGGCCCTCCGTACCGGCTGGGCTGCGGTGCGTGCACGCCGGAGCTGTGGTACGCGGCGTGGCTGCAGCCCCCTGGTTGCGAAGGGGACGTAGTCCCTGGGGCACCGTGACCTGCCCCGCTCTGCAGCGAGTGACCCGCCGGCCTGTGGCAGTCGGGAGGTTCCGCGGTTGCGTTTCTCCTCTGTGTAACACAAAAACGGGGGGGGGAAGATCCTGACAAGGCAGCTGAATCCCCCCCGCTCTGCTGCGGATGTGCTCCCGTCTGAACTCTGTTTTCTGCCTGCAGGGCCCAGTTTCCAGTTTGGGGCAGGTTTGTGGCCGTTGTGTTGCATCTCGTAGGGCACGTTTGCAAGGCTGCACTGGAGAGTCTGTTTCTCAAGGCGCGGATGAGTAACCTCGGGGCCAGGAGTCCTTCCCAGGGCAGGGGGTCCTTCCCACAGCGGCGCTGCCCTGTCCCCTCCCTGCCCCAGCCGTGCCCTGGGGGATAGTTCCCATGGGAAGAGCTGCGGCTACACGGAACTAGGTGCGTGTGAAGCACCTTAACAGGGATCGCACTCCCGTACAGCTCAGTTTGTGTGACTGTGGCAATGACTATGTTTTATGCCTCTGTGAGTGGAAGGAAGGACTAGGGAGCCTAAGCAGTTGCTCGGTGTGGAAATCAGGAGCCTGTAAAGGCCAACCCTGGCTCTCTCAAGGCCGCTGTTTGCTTTTTCCTGTGCTCTGCCGCTGAACTTCGTTGTGTACCCGTCTCTTGTACCTGAAGTGAACCAGAAATGCAACGTACTGCGTGGCAAGGTTAAGGAAATGTCTTGATGTCCTCTTGTTTGCAGCCAAAGTTTGTCTGGGCTTTGCAGTCATGCAGAAGGAAAGAAGTACTGTGAGTGGATTCTCCTTTCACATTTGTCCCAAAATCCGAGGGTTTATTTTGAGTTAGCTAATCTTTGTTTGCAAAAGTGACTTTGAATAGGAACAGTTCCTGCTTCTAGCTTTTACGAGCGCCCTTGTAGCGAAAAGCTAATAAAGATTTCAGAACTTAATATGGAACCCCAGAAAGACTAATAAGCAAATATTAGCTTTGGAGCGCTTCATGTTTTCTTCTTAATGAATGCTGATGTTTCACATCAGGTGAAGCAAGTAAGTTCAAAGCTTTCCTCTTTGCGATGAGCAGAAGCAGTTCCCAGTGGGACGCTAACAACCAAACTGGGTTGGCACCAGATGATCTCTAAGGTCCCTTCCGACCCAAACCGTGCTGTGGAAATGGCTGTTGGAAGGTGAGGCTGCTCCAAGAGCCAGGCACGGCGTACGCCCCGGAGGCCTGCCTGCGTCGGAAATGGCCGTGGATTCCCATTTTTAAGGTAAAAGCGGAGAATCGCGTGCCACGTGCAGGGGTGCAGCCAGGGTGGCCTTTGCGGGGAAACCGCTTCTCGCGGCCTGTCCCAGGGCAGGGCCAGCTGCCCGCAGCGGCGGCCCCGCGTGCCCAGGGCAGCGTCCTGCTCAGCCGTCCTCGCCCTGAGCGCTGCCGCCGCGCTGCTGCCTCGTGAGGACGGGAGTTTTGCTTCGTGTTTGTCCTGTGCGTGTTATTCCGCTTGAATTGTCGAGTGAGCTGAACGTGGGGGGTTTGCTCCCCGCTCCTCCTCCTGTGGCTGGTTAAAAGCCTTTCTCGTCATCCCAATTCTTGCGCTTGCAGCGTTCAGAAACTTTATTACTAAATGAGGCTGATGCGAAGCGTGCTCCTTGATTTCCCCTCGCTGCTTGCTTAGGCCGGGCAATCGGGTTCGTTTTGCCCTGTCACGGGGGAGCAGATCCCTTGCGACGGGCACCCGCGGAGCCTGGGCGCTGAAAACGGGCCGAGTTGTCGCGTGCTCGGTGCGGCTTTGCTGTAAGGATGGCGTTGTGTTTGCTTTTTGCCCTCTGCCCTGCGACGAGGGTACGATCTGTCTGTGTGAGCCCCAGCGTCACGTGCTCGAGCAAGGCTCAAGCTGAGGAGGGTCACCAGGGAGGTGAAGCCCTGAATTTTTCAGCTCCAACGTGCTTGTTTGCAGCTTCCTTTCCAGCTCTGGTAACCCGGACTGTGGAGTTCCAGTTCAGTCACTGCCATAGATTGAAAAGGCATTTTTTGGTTATGATTTTCGGTGGTCTGTTCGGAGGAGCAGGCTTGTGCGCAGGGATTTTCTGCGTTACTTCCCACTCTCTGAACAGCTCTGGAAGGGGGCTTTGTCACTGAAATTTTAAATTAAAATGTATTTAGTTTTCTGCTCACTTCTGAGTTGACCTAGAGTAGAAAGACCATGGTTTTGGTTATTTCAGTGCACCTTTAAAAACAATTTTAAAATTATTTTAACTTTTTTTTTTTTTCTTTTACATCTGCGTTGGACTTGATTTGAACAGGTCACACTTGCCACTGGACCAAACCAAGCTAAAGGTTAAATCCTGACCTTTTTCTGATGTAATCCCTACAACTTCTGAACGCCTTCCTGCGCGCCGTGTGCCGTTCCTTGGCGGGGTACCGCGGTTTAGGTTCTCTGGGTGACAGCAAGACAAAACCTTTCTCTTCCGCATGAATGCGACGCGTGGCGCCTTGGCTGCCTCGTCAGCCTCGCCCCTCGCCCTGCAGGGTCTCCAGGCAGCAAGAGCTCCCTTCTCATCCCCCCCCCCCGAGGCCTGGAGTGGACTGCAGGCAAACTGAGACTGCCTATGACTTAAGAAGAGTGATACTGGCCCTTAAGGAAAGGTGTAGTGCCTCGCTAAAGGGCGTGGGCAAAAATCTTTATCCAGGTTTTCTGATTCGTCGTTAGACCAACGTATGGGTGCTAAAAATCTGATTGTTTATAGTTGCATTACTGGAGGGGAGGGGGGGGGAATAGGTAGATTGTTGTAAAATAGTCCTGCGGGCATTAAATAGAATTTAATCTGAAATGGGAAGCGTAATGGCTGCACTTAGGGTTTGTCTTCCCTCGTATGCTCTCTCCCGGGTCGCTGGAAGTGGGTGCTTGGGAAAGAATAGAGAGCAAAACAGCACCTGCGGGACCTCCCCCCAGGGTCTGAGGGTTACAGAGCTCCTCAGCCAGATACGTGTGAAACCCCCGCGTGGATTTCTTGCCTGTGTGAACCTGCCAGACCTTCTCCTCTAGTGCTCTTCACAGGCAGGGTGGTGAAGGTGAGTTCTTAAATGTCAGACGACCAGCTGGTTTTCATGGGAGGCCTGGGTTTAGGTCTTGTATTGAATTCTCTGGGGCGATCATTAATGGCATTTCCCTGTGGACAAAATGACTTATTTCGTATGCTTTGGGTCTCTTATTGTCCCAGCATTCTTCTGGAGAAGTCAGGAAAAATGTATTTATTTCCTTTCAGATAAAAATATACCAATCTTGGATAATCATAGCTTTGAACTGTACAAAGAAAAATCTGTCTTGCATTCAAGCCTTTCACTTCTCAGAACATTGTTGAGAACCACATGCTTTGCATTTAGTCTGAGATTGGGGTTGGGGGGGGAAGTTAGAGGGTAGGATTCTTCTGCTCCGTCTTTCCTGGAAGTTTAGTTTGTGCTTTATTGTAGTGTATAATCTTAACTTTTTCTTAGGGCTTTTTATATTGCATTTTCTCGTACTCTATAAATGAAATTGCAAGTTTAAGTTGCCCATTTCTGACATTTGTGCTCGGTGCACAGCCCGGTCGTAGCCCTTACAGCCAAGTCAAAAGGTGTTCTGACAAGAAGTATCTGCACTGGCTTATTTTACTGTAGCGTGCTGTGGCTACGGAGGCTTCCCTCCCTCGTTCCCCCCGCCGAAGCAGCTGAGCTGCAGAGCCAGTTCTGCCTCTTCTCCCCTTACTGGTGTGCTGCTGGTGGGTAAAGCACCCAAAGTGCTTCAGCCCGTGGCCAAGAGCGCTCCCCTCGAGAGGCTGCTGACAGCGAGCCTCCATCCTTCCTTTCTGATCGGCGCTTTGCCGTCTCCTCAGGGTGCTGCTGCGTTCTCTCCCTGCTGAGCTCCTTTGCTGCCTTCCTTTCAGCTCCGCTCCTGCGGGCTCTCTCTGACCGGCAGCGGTGCCCAGCGGCTGCTCGGCCCGTGTTCGCTCTCAGCGTGTGTTTTCTGCCCGCCCTTCCCCTGGGCAAGACCCAAGGATTTGCTCAAATCGCCTGCAGCCTCCTGACAAGCCCTTGGTGCTGTTTCTCCCTTTTCTTCTGAGGAGGTACAATGCTGGCAGTCCTTCTAAAACAAGTTGGTAATGTTAATTTTCCTGTTATTTATTTGCTTGTCTCACGAGCTTGCTTTCTTTCCGGTTTCTAGCTGGATACAGTGCCTTTGCTGAAGCGTTGCACATGCTGGAAGTGCCCGCCCCGCTGCTGTGTTCCGGGATGGCAGCTAGGTGACGACCGTTGAGGATGACCCTGACTGAAAAACTGCGCGAGAGGATATCGCGGGCGTTCTACAACCACGGGCTGCTGTGCGCTTCCTACCCCATCCCCATCATCCTCTTCACTGGTCTCTGTATTCTGGCCTGCTGGTAAGTCAGCGAAGTGCTTCTTGTCGCAGGATGCTGCGGCTTTGTGGGGTTTTCGTGGCGATGCCCTGGCCGTGCTCAGGTTTCCCTGTCTGGTGAGCTGTCCCAGAAGATCAATAGATTTTTGTCATCTCTCTTGGTGGGGCCAAAGAAGACCGGGCTGAAGTATCTTCCTGTGGTTTAATAAGTGGGTAGTGAAAACTAATGGAAGAAGTGAAGCAAAGCAGTAAACAGAAGTAATCCCCAAACGCCTGGTGGTGGACTCCAAAACCACGAGTTAAAAATGGGAAGGGCGGTGGATCTTTCTCTCCATACTTGCCGGTTCTGTTCTCCCTTAAGCTTATACTCGTCTTTTGCAGCCCTTGCCTTGGCACCTGTGAGGTGTGTGTTCTTGTAAATCCTCTGCCCCCCTTATCTATCTGTCTGTCTGTCTGTCTATATAGCCTGGTTTGGGTACGAGTTGCAGCTGAGCGTCATTTCACTCACAAGTGTCACACAGGCCTCTTAACGATTTCCAGCGAGGCGTTGTTAACGGCTGGAGTGGAGAGCACTTCTGTGCTCAGGTTTGTGCTCAGGCACGTGCGTGTGCACCGACAGATTCTGTCTTCGAGTTTTTCTAAGTATTTTGTCTCTTGGTCAAAATAAACCCTGTGTGATGGTCTGCTCTTTTAGAAAAGCTCCATCTGTGGCGACACAGATACAGAGGTAGATTTTTCTTTCAGCATCGCTGAGGGTAAGAGACTTCTTTCACATCTACACTCAAGAGCATCAGAGTGATTATTTTCGTGCGTTGGAAGCCTGTGAGAGTGCTTCTCATGCCTGTGACTCCTCAAGGGTGTGAGCGGCGATCAGGGCGTTGCTTTCCTGATTTTTCACTGCTCCATGTGAATTCTTGTAACTGTCAATGACGATAGTTTTATTTTTGGATCTCTTGTTCTGTAGAAACATGAAGCTTCTACAAGGTCCAAGCAAGTGGATTCTCCATTCTGGTTGTCTGTGGTGATGTGGTTGCAAGTAGCAGCTCTACCTTTTGACTTTAGGTTTGCTGGATGCTGCTCTCACGTGTCAGGCCTGTTAGCCAAAACAGAGTTCCGCCCCGAGTCCCGAATCGCCACGCCGCAGCACGCTTGCGAACTGCTTCGTCAGAGCTTCCAGTGGTGTTAGGCTCCTATTTTCAGGT